TGAGGGGAGAGCGGGGAAGTCACGTGGTCTTTCTACGTGTTTATATTCAAATGGCTCGACTGAGGTCTACTGTGATCAACATGTTCACCTGCTGCATTCATCTGGAAGGAAAACACACACACACACACACACACACCATCTCTAAATAACCCGTCCCTCCATTATCATCTGACATCCAGGTGTTTACATCACACAATCACTTTTTTTGCTGACTCATGAAACATAAACAGTTGCGAAATAGAAGAAGAACAATTGAAATAACGTGCTCACCCCAAAAAAACTCTTAAAGCTGGGCGGTGGCTCCTGGTCAATGGAATGAAAAAAAAAAAACACAAGCCAATTGAATCATAGTTTACACGACCCTGCCTGATAAACAGGGCTGGATTTTTCAAATGTATCATATCATGCTAACGAGCAAACTGGGAGTGTATTTTAATGGGGATGCTTGATTATGTACCGCTCAACAGCGTTTGATTCTCCAGAACAGATGTCTGATCACTTGTCATGCAACACGCTCTGATCTTTCGATTGTCAAATCATTTGTCTTCATAATTAGGCACTGGGTTTTTTTGTTTTTTTTTTCGGTTTTGATTGACATGCATCACTACTGGAGCGTCCGTCGCTTCGTGGAGCGCAGGTTCCAGTTTGTCATGACGTTGATGACGCAGACTCCTCATGCATCATCATTTCTTTGGAGCCGACGTTGTTAAACTACCTGTCTGGTCCTAATGAGGAGATCGACGAGGCTTCGGTGCTGATATTTAACACTTCATGCACAGATTAACCAGCCTGTTTAAACTGCCTCACTCCCCCATCAATATCAACACGACACGGTTCAGAGTCTTTCAGTGATTATAAGAAATATGATGTGATTTTTGTTACACTCCAGGAACAAGATGGTTCCTGAGCTGGAGTGGAGTCTGAGGCGACAGTGGATGGTGGTGCAGTGGAGCATGCTCGCTTGAACAGCCTTATCCTCACGGACCATTTGGCCTTAACTCAGCAGAAATTAAAGGAACCTGGGACTTGATGAAGTGAAGAAGTTAAAAAAAAAACGTTTTTGTTCTATGCTCATTGGTTGGAAGGTGGTAAAAAATAGTTGGTTCAGCTTGGTTCAAATCCATCTTTGGTTTTTTGACCCTTGACCTCCCAAATATGAAGGGCTGCATCAGTAAAGGGTTTTAAAAAATGGAACAAACTACTAATTTTTCTCTCAAAGTAAATGACTGAACAAATTGTCATTTTCTTTTAAACTTAGATTTTTTTTTTTACTTATTATCCGTTTGCCTAATGCTAACTTCATACAACAGTTAAATACAAATTTGTCCATAATTGTTAACTGTATTCGTCATAAAGTGTTTGGCTGCAGTGTGTCATGCTTTCAAACCTTCATTATTGCTGAAGTTAAATACAAATTTGTCCATAATTGTTAATTGTATTCATCATGAAGTGTTTGGCTGCAGTGTGTCATGCTTTCAAACCTTCATTATTGCTGTGTTTTGAACTCTTTTCCCTCCATGGGAGGTGAACAAGGTAAAGAACAGAGTGAAAGGTCAGTGAGCGGGCGTACGTGTCGGGCGAGGATGAGGCTGTTCAACGCTCTGTTTGGCACAATGGCACAGGTAGGTGTGGGTTCAGACCGGCCATCGGCATTGGTTGAGATTAGCCCTGGAATGGAATGACGGTGGTGATAATCAGCTGATCGACAGGAGGGCCTGTTCGCCCGGCTGATTCCAGGCGAACAGACGGCCGCGATCGCCGGCTCTTACCACGACAGATATCCTGACTCGTTTGGAAGTCTTCCTGAGCTCGGGAGAAGCGGGGCTCTCCACGTTGTTGTTTTTCTTACAAACAACACACATACAACGTTAAAGACACAGCACACAAACATGTCAGCGGCAGCTCCGTGGTTCCACTGAGACATCGCTGTGAGGCTGAAGGAGAAAAATTAGAATGGAATTCTAAATCCTCACTCCTCCTCCTCCATCAGGGTGAGTGACGGAGGAGAGTTTGTCTCCGCAGCAGCTCTGCAGGACGCAGGGCCCAGGCTAATTCAGATGGATCTGTTCTCTGAGGCTGAGTGTGTTTTTGTGCGTCTGTGTGAGTGTGGGAGGTGTTGCAGTGTAGAACATGAAGGACTGTACGTGAGAGATAGCATTGGACTGTGTAGGTGTGTTAAATGTGTGAGTGACAGGAGAACATGAAGGACTGTACGTGAGAGATACAGTAGCATTGGACTGTGTAGGTGTGTGAGTGTGTCCCTCTGTGAGTGTGTGTGTTTAAGGACAGGGTTTTCTCACCTCCAGAGCCTCTGCATCCGGACTGGCACAGAACAGATTCTTTAAAGCGATGCCTGAATGATCGTTTACATCTGTGAAGAAAACAGAGGGAGAATCAAAACAATGTCGACAACAAAAGAAAAAAAGCATGATGTTCTGTCAGCAGAGCCTGGAGTCAGTGGTGTGAATATCTGTCATGTTCTGGTCTCAGAGAGAGAAGGTGATCCTCTTTATATTTTAATATTCTGTTGTAGTTCAGAGACTGACTTACTGACAGGGATCTCAGTGGGTCGCTCCACCACAGACGATCTCTTCAGTGCAGGTTTCAGGGGCTTCTGAGGTGTTGTTCTGGTGGGACTGAAGGAAGACTCTTCTGTTGAGATCTGCATGAGAGAGAGAGAGAGAGAGAGAGAGACTTGTTTTGTGTGTAACACTTCACAGAACCATCATGGGTTTTACCTGAAGCACAGGGTAAAAGAGTATATGTCTAATCTAACTCCTCATCTCTTATTATCTCATTAACCCTCTGATAAACTCCCCTCCACACACAAGTCAAACATTTCCCTTTTCTAATACAGAGAACTTGTTAAACAAAAACTACGATCTCAAACGCCGGCTGAAAAAGTGATGAAACAAGAAAGAACAGAAGAGACTCAGAAGGATGAGGAACTCTCTGAAGTTTTCTTATGATCTCAAACACAATTCTGTAAATGATGCTGCTAAAAAGTCAAAGGAGCCGAGCTGAGCTCTTTTACTAAACTCACTCCACTCTCATTTACGCTGTAATTAAAACACTGGAGAACAACACTGTTTTTGACAGTGTTGGTAAATACGTCATATTCACTGAGTCTCACAGACGACATTACTTTTACAAGTGTATAAAATCATTACAAAGTGCCCAATTACTGAACGGCTGAGAACACATGTTTACAGTAGAGACATAAAAATTCCAAACAGCTCAGAGTTCCACGGTCGAGATAAAGTTCTTATTGCTCATAAAGGAGGGAGCAGAAGGAAACCAGAAACATTTTAGATCCAAAAAAGGAAGAAAGGGAACTCGCTCTCTCTCTCTCTTTCTCACCCTCACCTTCACACACACACACACTTCTGCCTCACATCTCCATATCTACACCTAGGGGTTCTTGACTCATCCACTAACTGCGAATGGAGGAAATTGAATTGAAGACAGAGCCAAGATAAATCGACATCACGGAGCACACGGAGCCCAGAACCAATTTACACCTTCACCTCAACCCAGTGCTGCCTATTAAACACACAGCATCTGCTCCTGTCTGTTATGGATGGCTTAATAACACACATGTTAATGCTCCCTGCGATCAATTCTCTCTCTCTCTCTCTCACACACACACACACACAACTCTTTGATGAGCCAATTCCTCCAGACCATCCTTTAATTCCGATAATCCAGTTCAATGGGCAAGACATATGGACCGTCAGCACTTTCTAATTGGAAAAAAAAGGTCAACGTCTGGTTCTTCTGTGAAATGTAGAACCTTTTTATCCAAATGGAAAATAAAGATCATTTCTAACATCTTTGGTTTTTGTAAGAGGAAAGATCATTTCTAACATCTTTGTTTTTGTGAGGATTTTTTCAAGATTAATTTTTTTTTCAATTTTGTCTGATAACATTTAATATCCCAGGTAATTCTGTGATGTTTTCTTTTTCCCCTCACTCCTTCAGTACAGTGTGGCTGACCTGGAAGCGGACTTCCTGGCTGGCTCTCAGGTTGTCGTCCTCGCTAGTGGTGTTGGAAATGATTGACATGCGTTTTTTCTCGGCGGCGGCTCTCTCCCTGATGTACTCCAGCCGTCTGGGGCGACCGAGCTGCTGCGACAGCAGAGACTGGAGCTGAGCGCGCTCGATGGAGCCCAGAAGGATCATGGACTCTGAGGAGGAAGCACAGACAACATAGGAATAATAAAACTAACACACGGTGACCTGCACAGACACGGAGTTCCACTTGAGTCACGTGTCGCCACTAGTTGGTGCTAATGTGTGCGGCAGCCTGATTTGATTAAATGCCACGGCTAATTGTCTCTGCATGGCTGCTGAAGGGAGTGGGTGTTTGAAATACCACATTAGCACTTAAGTGAGGTGGCAAGTAGAGCGCCATCAGCAAGAAGCACTCAGGCAACAGGGCTGTCAATCAATGCATCAATTAGTCGGTCAATCAATTCATTTTTCACCATAATTATCAAAAGGTCACAGTAGCAGTTTAATGAAGTTACTACTTCTAAGTATCTCAAGAAGCTTCGTACAAGACGACTTTTATGGGAGGAGGCAGCTATATAACAGTACTACTCAAATAGTGGGGCGGGGCCCCCTGGGGTGGCGTGGTGAAATGCCACGGGGTCCAGTTGAATATGACACGCTGGGCACAAGTGTGCAGCTGCTGTAATGCGTGAGCGATAATCAAGCCGCGAGTCACTAGGTGGCAGCAGGATGTTTTTTGCTACATTCATGTAAACGAACACACTGCTAACACAACAAAAAAACAAAAAAAAAAAAAGTGTGAATCTGACCTGCTGATTCCACCAGAGCCAGGGTCTTCAGGTGGCCCGTCATCAACACGTTGTGCAGGTCTCTGTAGCAGCAGTTCAGAGTGATGTACCTCCGGGTCGCGGGGGCAGCAGTCGCCACCCAAATCACATTGCACCGTACCAAACCTTCCTGCGGGTGGTGAGTCCACTGGAATTAATAATAATAATAATAATAATAATAATCATAGATTTTTTTTTCTAAAAGCTTTTGCTAATCTTCTTTTGCTGCATCTGCCAAAACCTGTTAACACAAAAACAGTTTCTTGACCACTTCCTGTGCCAACCCACACTGTGATGCCAGCACGCCGGCCGTGGCCAACCTTCCACTCCTGTTACTTAACTCACTGTCCTCTCATGAAAAACAGCCTGTTTTTTTGGCCAGCCTCCTCGGCTCCATTTTTAATGCAATAGAGCACCAGGTATTTAAAAAAATGACATTTTCGGAGCACTATAATTTGGAATAAGCAAATAAAAAAAGAGATAAAAAGAAGAAGAAAAAAACTTTTCTTAGGTTTTTGCAGCACTGCTAATATAACTGCCATCTTCTATCACTCATTCTGCAGGAATCAACACAAGTCAAACTATCAAACTTTATTTTTTTAATCACCCAAGGACATTCAATATTATACACAATAGTGACCCCTACTGAGCTGTAGACGGCTGTGCAGGTCATTTTCTTGAATGGAAGTTTTTTGTTTTTTTGTTTGTTTTCAGTGAACACAGACCATAGAGAATTTCTGAGACTTCAAAAAACACTTTTTAGTGTTTGGAATTTTGAAACTGTAGTCCGACAGTGAGGTACACAACTAGTGTTCAATCAAACCTCAGGTTGTCAATTTACTTTGGGGGAAAAAACAAACTTAATTCAGTTTAATTCTATTGAGGAAAAAAATATTTTAATAAAATAATTTATTTTTGCTGCCAAAGACTAAACTGCAGCTGCCGCTCAGAGGTTTTCAGACACTAAAAGGAGTCATTTCTCATCGCAGTTTTCACTTTTCTCTTCATTTTTTCTCTTCGACACTAAAAGGAGTCATTTCTCATCGCGGTTTTCACTTTTCTCTTCATTTTAATTCAAACCAATCCAGGAGCCCAGGGGCGGGCGGATCTACCAGACACCTTCTTAGCAAATATGTCAGTAAAATGGATGATTAAAAAGATCCATCACCCTTGAGCTGAACTTTTTTTTTCCCCCAGTTGAACAACCAGTCTCATTTAATTTGCTCCTGGATCTGAGAGAATAATGTAATGTATGCCTCTGAACTGACCACAACTGCTGGCAAGACTAATTTCCCTGGGGGTATCAGACGGCTGATGAAATCTGATTGGTTTCTTCTTATTCCAGCAAATGTGGGCCCACTACATCAGATCAGCTGGAGCTCGCCTGCTTTTCATCCGCAGCGCAACGATTTGATCCTGAACAAACACCGTGACAGAGTCATACACCCAGGCTCATGGATCATCCACAGCATCGTCCACAGCCGCTGGGGTTGACACGGCCTGTGGGGTTTACTTTTTTTTGGGGTTGGGGGGGGGGTGGTTGGTTCACCGCCTGCAGCGTGGCTCGCGGTCGTGAGAACGGGCGAGGAATTAGACAAACTGTATTTGGCCGACGAGACGTGGCACGGAGTGTAAAGGCAGGCGCTTGGTGTGAGCGTGAACACCCGCGCCACGTACACACACGGTGATGTTATGTAATTGTTTTCACAGTTTAAACAAATGTACACACACGGTGATGTAATTGTTTTCACAGTTTAAACAACAAAAAAAAGTCCATTGTTGTAATGAAGACGAGCTGAATGGAAGAAGAAACAGAAAAGGTGTCAAAGCTGAAATGTGTGTGTGTGTGTGTGTGTGTGTGTGTGTACCTGGCACTTGGAGAGTGTGTTATATCTGCAAAGCAACATGGAAATACATTAAAGATATTAAATCCAGTCTGTGTGGGTGTGAAAGAGAATAAATGCACTTTCATATGGGTGTACCAGACATCCGGTTGTTATACAAGCTTTCACTGTGTGTGTGTGTGTGTGTATGAGAGAGAGAGAGAGAGAGTGTAAGAGAGTGCTGGTTGATGGCGGCGTGGGTGTAAGATGGATAATTTCCACTTTGAGTGAATAACACGTTGAGCTCGGAGGGAGCGAGGCTACGTCCTCCTGCTCTGCTCCCGTGTGCTGCAGCATTAAAACCCACGGGTCTGTGTCTCACTGCTGGAGCTCCACTGAGGTACAGTCACACCATCGAGAACTCAGGAGTTCATCGACTAACAAAACAGGAACAAAATGATTATTATTATTATCATTTCTAATTCAACAGGACCTGCTGGGAGATGACACTCCGCCCACGGCCGTGACACTTTAGAACCCAGTACGGAAAAGGAACCAATAACCTTCCATCTTATACACGTGGTCGTCCATTGGCCCCGGTGCACAGAAAATATTCTATGAGAGCATTTGTTTTGTAATTTTTTCATGTTTAAGTCAGTTTTGAGTGTATATAAAACCATAAATATCACTCTTTGATACGGATGTCTGAAATTAAACTTTTGCCGATATTTTCCAAACACTAAATTTCCAATTCCGATATCAACCCATACCCATATATGTAGCTATTTGCAGCGAAACACTGCGCTGTGTCACGATGATTAATAATTCACTTTCAGTTCACATCATCTAAGACGTTGTTTCCCAAAGACTGGGTCGTGACCCTCAGGTGGGTCACATAAGATTTTTTTTGGGTCATCTGGCATCACGTTTCCTGGGAGTTTACGAACAACGTCTATCAAAAAAAAAAAGTTTGGGAAACACCCAAACTAAGGAAAAATTGAAGAAAAATAACGATTCTTACCAATATTACAAAATTGACGTCCCTTCTCTTTGAAAATGATTAAATCTTTTAAAATGTGTAAAATTGTAGATGACCTAAAAATTCTTAATTAGCATCTCAAGCTCTTAATGAAGAACTGTTAATGAGTGAAGGAAGTTGTTGTTGTTGTTGTTGTTGTTGCTTCAGGTTGATGTTCCTACACCACTGTGAGCTGAGAGAGAGAATTTCCAGACAGTTTCTAAATCATTTTTATGCCTCGGCAACTTTGAACATCACCAAACATCAATCATTACGTTGAGAGTGATATTCAGATGATGGATGGTCGGGTCATTATTATTTTCTACACTATACATCAACACTAACACCCAGTAAAACACCAACTTTTTATCTGTGGATACCGTTTATCTTGTTCATATATGATTAATGATCATCTTTCACGGTGATTATTACGTGAAATCTGCATCAACAGATCCACAGACCCACAGTGAAGTCACTACAGACACCTGTTAGGGTGATTTTCAATGTTCAACTGACACTACATTTTAGCAAAGAAACGTCAGCTGAAGGTCAGAGTCTGGATAGAAGACGGTCATTTATCTATTCCTATTGGTCCTCCCGCTCCACGGGAAAGAAATACAGTCTCAGACGGAGGAGAGCGAAGACTTGAGTTGCCGTTTTTGGACATAAACCAGAACAAGTAAACAGGACTATATAAAAAAGCTAACGCTTTCTAACGTTTTGCGATCCACAGCAGAGCATCCCACAGCACAGCACCAAACCGCACTGTCACAAAAAGTATGTGTCGTGAAGTTTAGTTTCAGTGTGAGACGTTGGCCTGTTCAGTTAAACATGATGCTGATATACTGGCAGGAATTGAAGAAAGACAAATACAAAGATCGTATTCAACAGCTCAGAGTCTCTCTGTGTCTCTCTCTCTCTCTCTATCTCAAACTATTTGTAGTAAATATATTTTTCAGACCAATTCATTTAAACTGGATCATCACTGATGCCGCGCCACATTTGTTGGGAATCCCTGCAGTAGAGCAGTGCTGTAACTGCTGTATTTTATGCACAGAGTGCAGCTGTATCACAGCTGCAGTAAGTGTGAATCTGTTTCAGGATCCGTGTCTCCCCTGAGAGGATGTGAGCAGCGGTGCACGGCGTCCTGAGGCACAGTAATCCTAACAATATCCTCCGCCATTTCCTTAATCTTATTGGGAGAGAAAGATTAGAGAGGAAAACAGAAGAAGGAACAGCCGAGCAGCTTGTGTTAATGTGTGTAATACAATCTAAGGTCAGAGCTAATTTAAATTTAAAACCTGCTGTTGTGAGACTTGTACTTAGCTGTAATGACACTGTATTAGAATAATATGGATTCTAGTCCTTTAATACACTGTTCTTTGATTTAGTTTAAAAAAGAATATGTGGCAGTTACATCATTCTCAACACATGATTCTCAAATATTATCATTAATACTAAAGACACTACATGATTCTCAAATATTATCATTAATAATAGTAATAAAGACACTTTTGGGAGAACATCCTGAATGTACTGTACATTTAAGGGTTGATTTTAAAGTTGGGATTACTGCTGGGTTAATCCAATATTATGATGTTTTTTGTTTGAAAGTTGTGCAGGAGCTCCTTCAACCAAACAGGAGGTTTATTATATACCACTGTGTGTAAATTTGAACTGCTCCAGGAGGGTAGTTTAAAGGGTAATAAATGCTCAGTTTGGGTTTAAAAGCCTTCACTTTTATTTTTATTTTCTACCTGTAAACTGTACCAGTACCTGGAGTCTCAGTTTCAGCAGCTACAACAACAAAAAAAGAACTGACTGTAATAAAAGTTTCACTGCGGCTTTGTAGAAGTTTTCTTTTTTCTTTTACCGCTCAACAGTTTTATTTTGCCATTATTTTTTATTATTAATGTGACAAAAACTCCAACGTGTTTGACCTCTTAACCTAAACACTGACCCGTGGGCCACAACTGGTCCTAAAATTGAACGAGTGTTGGCGTGAGCTAGCATAAATGATATGTAAAAGTCATGCACAAAGGCTAAAATGCTAAAATGCTTTTAGCCTTCTCTACGCCATCTGCAGGGAAAATGTGGGCATTGCAGGGAAAAGGTAGAAATATTATTTATATTGTAATCACAATACAATAAAATTATATGATTTGGACATGTTTGGCGGACCGGATTAAGGAGCTAAATGGGCTGCATCCAGCCCCCGAGCCTTAGTTTTGCCCATGCCTGTCCTAACTTACCACCACTGGAGTTACTTGAATATATTAATGGATTGCGAATGTTAACGTGTTTTACTAAAATTACTTAATTTATATTTTGTGGTTTGACATGATAATAAAAAAGTGTCTTAAAGTGAAATTTTTAGTTTCACATAAAAACAGACTTCATCCTCTGAATAAATAACCCTTCAGTCTGGAGGCTTCAGTGAATCTGTACCCAGAGTATTGTGTTTATCTTCAGTGAGTTAAGTGTTTACAACCATCAACGGAGAGAAAATAAAGTATGCAACTGTTCCCACTCGTCATCACTCTCTCTCTCTCTCTCTCTCTCACACACACACAAACACACACAGGAGAGGGGTGTGAAAATGTGAGGTTGCAGGAGATAATAAGGAGCGACAGGAAAGCGAGCCACAGAGAGCGGCTGTGAGGGCTGCTTAATGGAGAGGTCGGACCAGGTTCTGATGTGAAATGAAGGATTCAAGTAGCCAACAGATATTCAACTCTTCAGGGGACGGCCGCAGAAAATAACGAACAGATGGAGGAAGAGATCAAACTTTCCTTTTTTTTCATTACTCCCCAGTTTGTGAATGATGCATTGGAACTATTATCTCCACCTAACGACGCTGCCTACATCCATAACAATAACAACTTCCTGACAATGCAGTGAAAAGTGCTGCTGTGAGGATCCCGGGAGCTCAGGGGACGCCTGGTTATCCATTTCACTGTAAATGATTAATGAGTGAATGCATTAGAAAACCACGTAACAGTGGACCACAGGACCAGGCACCCCCCCCACACACACGGCCCAGTTTTAGTGACATGATGTTTCACTCTTTGTGTGTGAAATTAAGGTAAGGATTACAGTACTAAAATTCTAATCTCTCTCCATATAATCAAAATTAGACCGTGGTTTATAATCCATAACATTGTCTTAAGGATGAGGGCAAATAATCAAAAGGCTAAAATGAAAGTGGAACTAGTAAATAGTACAGTAAATTAAACTGAATTAAACTAAATTCAGTTGAATTTAAATCAAATTTGAATGTAATTTTAATTTAGTTTAACAAAATTAATTTGGTTATATTGTATTATTATATATATATTATAATATATATATTATATTTTTAATCGACAAAAAAAATAAACCAAATATTTAAAATAAATTTTTTACTGACAAAATTGCAACTGCCACCAAGTTACTACTTTGTAAAAAAGACTAAGACTTCAACAAAATTGATCTCAACTGACTCGTCTCATATATTTTGCTTTTTTTTTTTGTCTTTTTCATTTCCGTGTGAACGTGTGACGCAGAGTCGGCTTCATTGGCACCACAGTAGGTACAGTATGCAGAGAGGTGAACACTATGCTCTCACAGCTACAGCACACGTCAGTAACTGATGCAACCACCATCTCTTCAATGTGGGCAAAACACACCTGAAATGTTTACATTTATTTCCTGACAATGTCTAAAAATCCCTGTGGATTTTTGACATCTGTGAAATAGGATTTGTCTGGAGGTGCACACTGGTGCACTGCAGGTGTTTCAGGCACAGGGCAGAACAGTCAATGTGGCATTATATCAGCAGTTTTACTGCATCAGCCGACACTGGGTGGTTTCATAGTTAAAGGTAGAAATAAAATGGACACTGATTTACTGTTAAACAGAGGAAATAACCCCACTCTACAGGCTACTGTCACCCCCACTGGCTGAACTAATGTACTGCCCCTCTGTGTTAACCATCCTTTTTTTTTTATGTGAAAATTCCGTCACATACGATGTGTTTATATATACATATATATTTGTAGATATTTTAATATATATATATATATTGAAATATCTGCATGATTGTTAACGCTGAAGTTGAGGTGACCGACCTTCTTGATATATATATAAATATATATATTCAAATATCTGCATGATTGTTAACGTTGAAGTTGACGTGACCGATATCCGATGTTGTCCAAACACTTAATTTCCAATTCCGATATCAACCGCTGCCGATATAGGCCTGGTAATATTTTATTTTTTTATCTGTACGAACCACTGTATGCGATTTATTAAATGAGCTGCAATGCTGCCATCTAGTGACTTTCACTTTAATATACAGCTGTTTATCCCCAAAACTATTTTTAGGTCACACGTCGTTGGATGAACCCCAGGCATTGTGTTATCGTGTTTTCATTATCAAAGGAAAAACCAATCATGTTTCTTACAGATATTACATAATATGCTAATATTGGCCCGATAATATCGGTCGGTCGATATTATCGGACAGCCCTAATTTATACATTTAAATACTCAACACTATTTTGAGTTACAGCCGCTGAACCTGAAGGAAAGTTGGGAGATTAATTTGCCATAAGACAATTTTTTTTTAACCTCGTTATGTGTTTGTACTGCAGTATGATATCATACAATGTGACAGTACTACTATGATGTAATGTGTGGTCGGTACGTACTCGTGATGTCCCCAGCCGAGCTCTGGAAGGTAGGGCAGCTTTTTGATCCTGATGATGGAGTCGTAGAGGGAGGGCTGCAGGGACTGGGCAACAGCATTGGCCAAGATCACCGCGATCATTACGGGCAGGATGTGGGAGATCTGGCCAGTCAGCTCAAACACAATCACTGACGTGGAAACCGTGTGGGTGACCGCTCCCGACAAGGCTGCTGCACCTTTTGGTGGAAGAGACAAAGAGAAAAATAAAATAAGAGAAAAATGGGGAAAAAAAAAATAACTTTAGAATCTTTTGTCCGACTGTTTTTATTGAGACAACTGGTGCGGTTTAAACTGGTCCCTGAAAGGCTGCGATGACATCATCCATAAAGAAGACAGGCAGCTCAATTTGAACATGATTAAATGTGTAATAACTTAGGCCTTAACTACCCCGCAGCAGGTCCTGTAACAAAGAAGAACTGCTGATTGATGAACACTTTAAACTGAGTTCACTTCACACCACAATTCTTCTCAAATACCACAGCATCATAAAACTGCAAAAAGAGTTCAAACAAACAAGTACTGTAGGAGAGTGAAGGTGCAGTAACAAGGAACAGACACACATCCACCAAATACAAGATAAAGGCAAAGCTACGAGTTTCAAAAGTTGTAAAAACAGAATAAAAAAAGTCAAATAAAGTCAATGTGATGAATACAAATCTGAATGTGAAAAACTTGAACTCTTTGGTTTTCCTGAGTATAAACCATCTCACCTCTTTGGCCCAAATGTCTGATGATGTAATAACTGCTGTGTAAATGAAGCAGAACCAGACGACAGGTGGGAACCAACCATAACAGATGTCACGGAAATACAGGATCTGTATTCATGTTTCAGTTAAACGTGTTCAGTGAAAACCACCTCGGTGCAGACCATTCCATTCATCAGTAATGGATTTAAATTGACAATGCCACAGTAATTATTTTTTAAATTGATTTTCTGGAGCAGATCTCTCTTCAGTCCAACTATGTGAATTCACACAAACTGCTCTTATATACTCATATGGAAAAGAGAAAAAAGAAAAGAAAGAAAATCGATTTGCTCGTCCAATTCAGTACGAAGGGGAACCCTAATAATTCCTAATCGCTTTTCCCTCCGATACAGCTCTGCGAACAGAGCAATATAAAAGCAGCGGAGTCAGCCTCTGCTGCTCGGCACAGAAAACAGATGAGTCCAATTCGATGGATGAGATTAACACTGGCAAAAAAACAGTACCGGACGGCGGCGTTAATATGGGTGGAAGGGCGGAGAGGCAGAAACAGATGGTGGGCTGGAGGAACCGTCGTCGTTCACTCTCCTAACTTCATTAAGTCCATCTGGGTTTGCCCTCTGATCTATGCTGCTGCTGCCCCGGCCTGTCCTATCCTTCAGTCTCCACTAGGAGACGGATGGTAGAGGCTCGTCACGTTGTCAGTCGTACTGTACAGACCAACGCCAACGCCGAGCTGTTGCGTAATCAGCGTGGCTGTCAACAAGTGCTCAGAGGAAGAAAAGACAACACCGCATGTCATTAGACATGGAGGACGGAGATGAGACAGCTGGTGTCTGCACGATGAATAAATACAAGGACGTGGTACATACTAAATACATGGAGAGTACTGCAGTACATTCTGTAATAATAAAACATAACTTTTATAGTGGGCCTAGACGTAGTTAGCTGTTTATTATCGATATCCGATACGCCGATATTGTCCATACACTTAATTTCCGATTCAGATGTGTCGATTACCGATATGTCACTATGACAATACTTTCACTTTCACTTTCACTTTCAATTTTACAACAATTTTTATGTCACATCATCTGGGTGAAACCAGGCATTGCTGTTATTATCGGGTTTTCATTATCGGAGGAAAAAAACGATAACGATTCTTACTGATATTACATAATTATGCTAGTATCGAGCGATAATATCGGTTGTCCGATTATCGGACATCCCTACTTTTCATCAGGGGTGTCAAACGTTTAAAATGTGTAATCTGATCATGATTAATCATGATTGATCTAAATCTACATGTGACTTTATAGGAGGGGGTGCCCAACACCTGGTCCCGGGACTGGTGCCAGCTCGTAGGTCATTTGGTACCGGGCCACATGATGGCGCTGTATTTCTGGTCTACAGTAATGGTTGACCGGTCTTGGGTACAGAGAGGGTTGGGGACCACTGCTTTATAAACACACAAACAACAGCAGGCAGACGTATGTGTTTCACGCCATTTTTATCTTGGAGAATTATTAATATGAAGAACAGTTGCACAAGGATAACTGAAAACTGAAAACTCCTCCACAGAGTTGGTGGATTTCAGTCATTACTGTGCATCTTGGTGATGGATTGGACAGTAGTTTCAAAAGTTTGGTGAAGTCTTTGTTCTGAACATTATTATTCCGTCTCCCCCGCAATCAGTCTGACGACTGTATCAGTCAGTTTTTTCAGGCGTAGACTCACTCACTGCCTTCTGTCTGTGAGCAGCTGGTCTGACCTAGGCTAGCTGCTGACCTGAAGACCACGCCCCGACAGTGGCATGCTGGTCAACGAGATGATGTTTTGAACTTGAGCTGCTTTGATTAAACTAAAAACTTTTCTCGTGCAGTGTAATTTTTGATCTACGGTGCACGATATTTTGTCTGGCTAGCTGCTGACCTGAAGACCACGCCTCGACAGTGGCATGCTGGTCAACAAGATCAACTTTGATTAAAGTAAAAACTTTTGTCGTGCAGTGTATTTTTTGATCTACGGTGCACGACATTTTGCCAACGCACAATTGAAACTCAACAGTTGGCGAGTTTACAGTGAAACTGATTAATTAAAGATGTCATGGTGGGATTAATTATGGTGGGAAAAGAATTATAACAACCAGTTTCCTGAACTCACCCACAACAGCGTAGCCTCCTGGGACTATCGTGTAGATGGTGCCATCTGTGTGAATGCCGTCTGGGAACCAGGCCGCCATGCTTTCTCCAACCAGACGACCGAAGGCCGCTCCTGCAGACCCACAGACAGAGACAGAGGCCGGAGATCAGACATCCAGTCTAATCAGTCAGTCACAAACAGCAGCCCTCCAACTACATCAGGTCTAAAGATCGTTTTTCCATGTCTGAGGACTGGTCCGTCCAGTTCTGTCTCACAGTCTTTGGATCTCAGACAGAAGCTGTCGACTCTTACCTATGACGAACACAGGCATGAAGGCTCCGCAGGGCACTGGTATGGTGGTGGCCAGGGCGGACATCCAGAACTGGAAAAGAAGAGAGGAAACAAAAACGGTCCTGAGAATAAAGAACTGTGAGGCACTTCAATTAGCTTCCTGTAGATGACAGGAAGTGGAATCCTCCGGCAGCAGTGAGCAGGCAGCCGTGCGAAGCTTATTGTCGGGGTTAGATTGAGCTGTCACTTTCACTGCTAATTTGGCAAAGACCCTGAAATGAACCGAGTGTAACGAGTGGCCTCTAATGATTGGCTGACACCGTGCCATTGGAGGGAAGTGCTAATTAGGGAAAACAAACAAAATGTTATCGCTAACAATCTTTGAACAGCGTGGTCGGTTTATAGAGTGAAAAAAAAGTTTCGATCTCAGCCCTAACTTCAACAAAGGTCACATGATCAAATGAATAGATTATTAAATGGCAGCGTTGACAAATCTGTGTCTTCCATTAAAAATGACTAATGAACCAGACGACGACTGCACCAAAAACATGGCTGCCAGCAAACGCATTAGAAAAACTGAATTTAGCAGCAAGAGATACTTAAAAAAATACTTTAAAAAATCTGGGCCATTTTCCAGCAGCAGCAACGACTGAGTCAAACGGAGAGGCCAAAGAACCGCCGTGTCTGACTGAAGGATTAACGCAGAGCTGGCTCTGTGGGTTTTCCTGGTTCCAGACCAGTGAAGTGCAACATAAAAGTCCGATTTCTATCGCAACTTCAAATGATCAAATCAGAGCCTGACACCGTAGCTATAGTTACCAAGCCTGACAGGGCGGCCGGTGAAGAGCAGGGCAGAGACGGACGTGGGACGCAGCAGTCTGCCGCTAATCAACTTATGGACAGGCAATAACTCTTCAGGAGAATATTGATTTGATCAGTGTGAAAAATGTAAGGTCAACTGCTCCCAGCGAATGGCAGATTGGATTTGACTGGTAGGCAATCAGCAACGATCCGTCCAGCCTGCTTCGTTACAGGCACAACAACTAACGACTCAATAGGAACTGAGGTTTTTGATCAAATAAGTCTGTGCCAAAACAACAACAACAACAAACTCTTCACTTCACATCTAAATAAACCCAATGATCCCTTCAGAAATGCTTGAAGATGAAGCGAAAAAATAACAAACTCACATCCAGAAATGCTTGAAGATGAAGCGAAAAACTATTTTTTAAAATAACAAACTCACATGACAAGAAATGAAATTTGGATTTAAAATGACTTAATTGAATCAATTTTAATTAAATAATTTTAAATTATTCCTCCCTATCTCTGTCTCCTTCCTCCCCTCGCTGCTTCCTTCTTCCTCTTCCTTCTTCCTGGTGTCCTCTCGGTTCGTTCTAAAGTTAGATGTAATCTAGTCTGGCTGCCATGGTGAACTAATGAATAAAACAGCATGTCCACACAGAGAGAACTCTGGGAAATCAGAGCGTCAACGCTAAGTGGTTGGTGGACAGAAACAAAGAGGTGAGCAGTGGAATATATGTACACACTGTCAGTGTGAAAAGACACATATATACAATATATAAAAACATATAATAGAGATGTATATTTTAATTATAATGATGAGGATTATAATCATACATACTATGAATATATAACTATATAGATATATATTAACATCACTAGAAATATGTTGATACATATACATACACATACATACAAATATATGTGTGTATTTAAATATATATTTACATAATTTCAATAAGTAACATCAAATAATTTAGAATTTTATAAAGTATATTTATATTTTAGTCGCCAGATTTATAGTCAATAGTTTTATCAAAACAAAACAAAACATTTTTAGAGATTGTTAGACTTTATATTTTTTACCTTTTTTACATTCTACAGTATATGTGTATATATAT